CATTTCAAATTAATATCTTCATCGAAAAATGTCAAGTATTTATATTTCTTCAGATATAAATAACAATAAATTTTCTTTATACATAGAGATTATTTATTACTTTGCCAAACAATAACGAATAATAATGATAAGCATTTTTAAGTATATAGCATACATAATAAGACTTTTAAATACGGCACAAAGAGTTGTTAAAAATATAATTAAATTATTCAGTTCTTTTGTTTAATTAGAAAAGATTCATTATTTGTAAAATTACATGAGCTGTTTGATTCGAATGTTGTGACGAGATTGTTATTTCTAATGCTAATTCATAAATAAAAATACGCACCATCATTATCTCATTGCCAGATTATTATCATTACCAACGTGACCAACGGGTAATGAATTATACTTACTTAACTAATAGAGTAACCGTGATGCTTACCTGACCAATCAGAGATATTTTACCTTAACCAGTAGGGATAGACTCCTTAAGTCATTGCTATCTTTAAATACAGTCTCCCGTGACTAAATTATTCTTTTTACTAAACCACAAATTTTAAATTCCTCTATAAGAAAATGGTAAAAATAACGATGCATGCCAAGAAATTAATGCTAGCCAAATCTGTAACAAACAATAAGATAATATTAACTCAAATGGGGATACGTTTAAGCGTTGTACCTTCGGTGATCAGTCCGAAACACAGACTAATAAGGATGCGTAAATTTTTGATCAGCCCGGAAAACAAATCCGAAGCGCGAATGAAAAAATACGAAAAACGGATGCTTAAATCTATCTTGGCGCACTATTAAGAAATGTTGGAAAGATAATTTTACATGCAATTTTGTCATCCACTCTAACCCTAATCCTAATCTTAATCTTAAAATCAACCTTTAATTGTAATACCCGTGTTGTCACGTGGATACAATGCTGTAACGCCTCTCCTCAAAGGGCAGGTCTGATCCCAGAAAAATTCGGAAATTAACGTTAAAGGTTATTTTAAAGTTAAGATTACTGTTAGAGCGGAGGACAAACTTATATGTAAAATTGTCCCCTGACATATTCTATTAGTACTCCAAGCTAGATTAGGCATTTTTGTGTTTTCTGCCGGATTGGTTTTGCCGGACTGATCAAAAAATTTGCCACATACATCAAACAATATATTCGGCATAACCTGTTACACATTCCAACAAATGCCGTTATAACGTCATTTGTTGGAATTTTCTCTCATGGCTTATTTCCATGGCATTCTTTTTCCTAAGGAGATGCATATTGTCGGTGATTATTCTGATTATGTTCGGTGATCTACTAGTATGGGAATGTATATAAATATAGGCGGTTGAGCGTGCAAGTAAACAACTATCAAATAAATCCTTGTAATTTTGAGATATACGATAATATCAAATCGACAAAATGTCAAAACAAAATAATATGGAAAATGAATCAACATCCAATAAAGACAATGTAAATTCACAATCTTCTTCAAGCAAACCCAGTAATAATATCGATGACATAAATGAACCACCACCACCTTACATACCGCGTGAATCAGAAACATCAATGTCCGATGCAACAAATAGGCAACATCCACAAACCTCAACTAACGACATCATGTACAATACAACAGGAGGAGTTTATAACGCACTTCCTGCAAACACTAATAATACTACCACTCCATTATCACCTCCAAATCCTCCACAACCGTCCACAACGGCAATCGAATATGTTCCTGTGATGATTGTGAGTAGAGATCCATTAACAATGTACTGTCCACATTGTCAGCAACAAGTGTTGACTAAAGTATCGAGAACTCCAGGTGCCCGTGCTTATTGTTGTTCAGTCTTAATGTGTTTTGTATGTTGGCCGTTGTTCTGGGTGCCGTGTGTGATGAGAGGATGTCAAGATGAATTTCATCAATGTTCAAAGTGTGATCGTGTTTTAGCTGTAATTGAAGACGAACCATGAATTACATATTATATGAATTGGTGTGTGTTGCAACAAACCAGACATTACGTTAAAAAACAGATTTTTATCTGGATTATTGAACATTATTTCATTTATTGCATTTATCTATCATCAAGAATTCTTATATTTGTATTTCAAACAGGTTGAAAAAAAGCAATATTGATTATTTTTTTTATTTGCTGTAGTGTAAAAAAGCAATATTATTATTATTATTATAAAATACATCATCGTTTACTTGTCCTTGCAATAGTGTTTTTATTGCATGTATTCTGATTCAATTAACGAATATATATTATTTGATAAATGTTACGAGTGATAGACTAAATTGTGTATCACAGTATTACGTGCGTATCTATGACGTAGCTAAAAGAAATTCCGTATCTTCGATCTTTCTATTTATCTCACTTTTATCGTTATATAGAGTTTACTTTGTTTCTTTGGTTGGAGTGAAAAATAAACATAAAGAATAACACTTTCTTTCATAAAACTAAGTGTAAAGAGTTTTGAATCACAATCATGATAACAGTTGGTGATGTTCTTTTGATCCTTGTCGCTATTTTATTCCCGCCTGCTGCGGTTCTTATTGCGACAGGGTGTAGTGCTGATTTCTGTATAAATAGTAAGTCTGTTGTAATTTAAGTCATTAACAATTTGGTTGGTCAATTGAACTTACAAAAAATAAGTCTGCTTAACTATACTCGGATATATTCCCGGGCATATACACGCATTCTACGTGCTCTACAAAAAATCTGAGGAACGTGAATTACTTGAACGTCGTCACACATTGTTATCGTCACCATCGATGCCATTACCGGGTACGGTTGCTAATCCTTCTATACCACCTACACCACCTCCGTACACGCCTGAAGCGTCTCCTGCTCAGAAATCTTATGGATCTACAAATGTGTAGCTAGTTAATTTAGAGGGACATAAAGGTCCCCGTGTTGTCGTGTAGGTTGATCATTGTTTGTTGGTTTGGTTTCTTCATGTTTTTCTTATGGAAGTTAATTTTTATTGTTTTTATTAAGTAATTTACACCAAATATTAATATTCTTATTATCTAATCTATTACATCTAAATGCTTGCAAATAAACAAACATTCATTTTTTTCTGTTGACTCGATAATAAGTTTGTTACGATTTTTTGTGCTAAAGACGAGGACTCATGTCATCCATAATTGATATAGAATTAGCATTGAATGCGCATCAATTTCTAATGATTATTTACAGTTTATAAAATTTTTGAATGACCTATGAACATACCAATAAATTTCTCGATAAACATATCAAATCTGAAAAGCTCATCACCTTACATAAACATATCATAATCAATATCTTCGGGTCTTATGAGAATTCGTTTGCTTTTTGTTTTGTTATTCGACGCGCTTTCATCTTGCTCAGGCACCAAAGAACCACTTGCCCCACTGGCATTCTTTGTGCCATTATTTGTAGATTTATTTTTGTTGCGTGGCGGATCGCGAATCAATCGTTTGATTCGTTTTCGTTTTATCGCGTCCTTTCGCCAGTCTTTGTGATTTCTAGAAGATTCTAATTGGTTATTTATAAAAACTCGAAGATTGTCATTGATGATATCTTCTTTTTCCCTTGGATCGAGCATTTGATTATTGTTCGTATAAGAGATTTCTCTTTCTTCTTCCACTTCCTCTTCCGTTTCTTCGTCGTCCTCGTCTTCATCATCACCACTATCATCAGCACTTTCATCGCCATCACTATTATCATTATCTAGATGACGCATTCGATTTGATGAGTTCACAAGTAATTCGCAAGTATCTCGTGCTTGAGCAGAAGACATTTCAACAACATTAGTCGACGACGATGCCGTTATAGGAGGTAAAGCTACATTCCCCGGCATTTCAATATATTCACAAAGTTCGTCGTCCGGGCAATCTTCCTCGTATAGTTCCCTATCATTGAGATGACTATCACTAACAGTGCCTCGTCGCTTCTGGTGTGCCCATGCTTGCAAAACTCCAAATGATGCATCTAATAATTGTTCATCGGGATATTTTTGCGATAGTAAAAGTTCTTTGAGAAGTTGTAATTCTCCGTCGTAAGGATCATCGGTAACTTCATCATTATTATCAACTTTTTCCCCTAAGGATACTACTTGTTGTTGTTGATTATTTCGTTCCCTTTCAACATCATCAGTTATTATTTGTTGTTGAGGATCTTGAAAATCTATCCGTACGTCTCCATCATCTTCAATTATTACTATTTGTTGTTGATATTGTGAAACCTGTTGTCCAATACTTAAAGTTGATGGTTCTAAGCCAACAATTTTCCTGGCCCTTTGAATTTTTTCTAATCTCAGGGCTTTCAGTTGCCGAGATCGGACAATAGACGGCACTTCTATTTGATCCCAAGATCTTGCGATATTCGGCAGTTCAGGCGGAAAAAATTTTATCAAGTCATTTACATACAAGTATGATCTGAACGGATCGTCTTTGGCGATATAAGCAAAATGAATTTTTTGTACTTGTTGATTCATGTGATATCGAATTTCCTTATATCTCCTCAGCATACTACGATCAGGCTTAAGATCAAATGCACAAGTGACAAATTCTTCGACCATTTTGTGATTAGCTACCCTTTCCGCAACTGAAGGTTTCTCGGTCGCCTCTATCGCGTAAAGAAGAATAGCAGCAGCCATAGGAACCGGACTCCGACCAGTGATAAATCCTGCATTTGACGCATATTCTAACAGGTAATACGCCGTCCCAATCAAAACTTTCCGATAAAGCTCCATAATCTCTGGTATATTATTCACTTGTATACAGTTCCCCACGGTAATATTCACGCAATTCTCTATATGCCTTGAATAAATCGCCTGCGGGAACGTGTTAACCTCGCGATACAGGTGCATCAAATCTTTAGTGTATAATGGCAAGTGGTGAGCAATCTCTTCGTGAAACATTGCTTCGATGGTCCCGGCTAGCAACGATTCCATGCTCACATTGGGACTTTCAAGTTTCATTCCGAGCACTTTGATCATGTGACGTGCTAAACTGTTGATATCCCCGGGAGAAATTTTGGTGGCTTTACTAATGTCGTAGAGTGTCACTGTCAATTTACGTTCTCTTATTGTAATGTATGCAGCTGCAGCTATAGCGTATTCTAGTTCTCGACCGAGCTTCACTTGATTTTTGCTGTTGTATTGCAAGACTAACGACCAGACGTGCTCCTGAATAGAAAGTATCCCTAGTTTTCCGCAAGTTATCTTCAAAAAATGTGTGCGAGGAATATCTGGCTTACATAGTTGTGCCCTCGGGAAAACATGAGTCATCCTTCTCCCGTTCAAAATAGTGTCTTTGCCTAACGTGAAACCTGTGTTAATAAAGTTCCTGGCTTGGCGTGCATTATTTTGCAGGCCTATTTCGTCAGATGGCTCTACCGCTACTATCTCGGAAAAGACGAGACCGCATTCTTTGCAGCATGTTCTTCCGGCATCGTCTTCTTCTCTTGCGTCTTTTGGGTGTTCACAGGACATTTTGTAAATTATGCAAATCAGCTACTAGATAATTGGTCTAATAAAAAAAAGCAGCGTAATGCCAGCTGGAATTAGGTTTTCGAACTTTATCAGTTACGAGTATGCAAATCATTTACAGATTTGAGATGGAAGTTCCAATAACAAATTAATTTGTCAAGGTTTAGGTTTTTTTGCCAGGATTTTTCAATTGCCAAAAACATTATGAACCATTTTTTCAAATACCAAGGTTATATCGGAAGCAAGAAGAAAGAAGAATGAGTGCCCTTCATAGATTGATCATGCATAGCTTTTGATCCTTTACTGAAGAACACACAAGCCGTGCGTACCGGTACGTACATAGATTATGAAATAGGAAATTTGGGAAAATCAAGTACTTGAAAAAAAATGCATTGACACTATTAGCTCTCGTAATAGATCTTAGCACACTAATGACAATAATTTTTTCCATGTATTAAAACTAATAAAGATTCAAATATAAAATTTTTATTTGATTAAGCGGGAAATAAAACCAATTTGATCTGATTATTAATTATTAGTAGTAGCGATGGTAATAGTTGAATAAATTGAATAAAAATCCAAAATTCTTTAAAAAATCCATATATACGCAGTCTAACTAACAACAGAAAATATTCATTAATAAGAAAATAACGACTAATTACAAATTAAAAAAAAAATAACAGAAAAACTTTCTCTTTACACTTTTTATATTAGTTCATCTATTTTAAAAGGAGATGAATAATAATAATAATAATAATAATAATAATAATAATAATAATAATAATAATAACAATAATAATAATAATCATAATCATAATAAAGATATGATGCCGATTATTTAAAGAAAAAACTACAACACCAAAAGTTCTTTCTATTCCCACAATTTAAAGAACTGGTCCAGCAGCGATGACTTCAGACGTAGTCTGATCTTCATAATTTCGGAAATTATGAATGAATCGTTGCGCCAATTTCTTACGACTTCCTAGGAACTCCTCTTTAGGTCCCTTCCATACTGTAGCAGGATTCAAAATTTCCGACGGGACACCTGTGATGTTCTTTGGTACCTTAAGGTTAAACACGTCATAGTTTTCGAATTCGGCGTTGGCCAATTCACCGGAATGTATAGCGTCGATAATAGCACGCGAGTACTTTAATTTGATACGTTCACCGACACCATAGGCACCACCGTTCCATCCGGTGTTAACTAACCAGGCGTCGGCTTTGTGGTGTTCTATTTTATCGGCTAACATTCTTGCATAACGTGCTGGGTGGAGGACAAGGAAGGGTTGTCCAAAGCAGGCGGAGAAGGTGGCCTCTGGTTCAGTGACACCTTCTTCTGTACCGGCGATTTTTGCAGTATAGCCGGAAATGAAGTGGTACATTGTTTGTGCCGATGAAAGTTTCGAGACTGGTGGTAGAATACCGTAGGCATCACATGTCAAGAGGATAAGATTCTTCGGATGACCAGCGGTACCTTTATAATTAAGATAATTAGTTTTTAATCATAGATTCAAATAAGTAGCATTAATAAAACACACTTACAAGGTATCTTTGCATTAGGAATAAATTCAATAGGATAAGCACACCGAGTATTTTCAGTCACGCTACTATCATCATAATTCACCACACGAGATTTCTCATCATACACAACATTTTCCAATACCGAACCGAAACGAATAGCATTGAAAATCTCCGGTTCTTTCTCAGCCGACAAATTAATACATTTGGCATAACAACCACCTTCGATGTTGAAGACACCATCATCTGACCAACAATGTTCATCGTCACCGATCAAGTAACGTTTTGGGTCTGCTGATAGTGTTGTTTTGCCAGTGCCAGAGAGACCGAAGAAGACTGAAACGTCGCCATTGGGACCTTCGTTTGCTGAAGAGTGTAGTGATAGTACTTTGTGTTTGACTGGCATGTAGTAGTGCATTACAGTGAAACTATTTTGAGAAAGATTGATTAATTTTTTATTTTCTCAGAATCTTATAAAATAATATCAAAAAAAAAATAAAAAATACTTACATTCCCTTCTTCATTTCACCAGCATACTCAGTACCCAAGATCACCATTTCCCGCATATGAAAATTGATAGAAACCGAAGTAGTGGAAGTCATACCAGTGGTATAACGATTAGCTGGGAAAGCACCAGCATTGTAAATTGTGAAATCGGGCGAACCATAGGTTTCTAATTCTTTCTCGGTTGGGCGAATCAACATGTTTCGCATAAAAAGTACATGGTAGGCACGAGCTGATACAACTCGGACCTTGATACGATATTTGGGATCCCATCCGGCGTAACCATCAAATACATAGATATGACTACGAGTGTTCAAGTAATCCACTGCACGTTCACGATTGATCAGAAAAACGTGTTCTGGTAATTTGGTATTGACTGGACCCCACTATTGATTAATCAAATGTCGATAAGTAAAATTTCTTATCATTTATTTGGTAAAAAAAAAGAATGCCTACCCAGATATCGCTTGACGAGGTTGGTTCGTCCACCAAACGCTTGTCCTTTGGAGAACGACCAGTTTTGATACCAGAAGCAGTGATGAGCGCTCCATTAGATGAGATAGCAGACCCGGTCTCATGCTTAAGAGCTTCCTCATAAAGCTGAGGAACAGATGGTTGCCATTGAATAGTCACACGATCGTAGTCAATATGAGCATTATCGTGAAGTTCTTCTTCGACGCGTGTGTGTGTCATTTTATTAAGATTATAAGAAGTGGTAGTGAAGGCAAGTTTTTGCTGTTGGTTCTTCCTCAATTGTTTTGAAGTATTTGTATAATAAGAATTATTTATTGTACCCGAAGAATAAGAGAAGGGATGTTTGAAAAGTTTGATATGGTTGAGACGAAAAAACGAAGCTGGAACCCGAGGTTTAAATAGTAGGCGAGAAGAATAAATCATGATTAATTGGTGATTGTCAATTTTAATTTGGGCTTATTGTACTTTTTTTAAAGTGACGCGTATATTTATTATTTAGTCTAATAACCTACCAAATATCTCAAACTCAACACAATCAACGGCAGTCAAAAAAGGGGAGGAAGGCGATGAGGTGATCCGTTAATTTAAAAAATATAAAAAAAATCAAACATAATAAATTCTAAATCTGGAAGTAGAAAAATTTTTACGATAATGATATATATGGTGATATGAAATATTTTTGTAGACATTGTAACAACATTTAGTGGGTTTTTTCGGATGTTTTTTGGTGTTAGACCTACCTAACTTCCCAACTTCCAAAATGGGTGATAATTGATGCATGCACCCAATTATTTTTAGGTGTATAATATGTATTTATGCATCATTATTGACTATCCCCGTTAAACGTTTAATGTTACGTCACAAAATAAAACCGATTTCCGTAAAATTCCGTTCCGAAAACACCCTACTGGTTCTGGTTCTTTTCGTTCTTTGTAGTTATCAATAATCGTATTTGAAACTTCAGTGTTATTACGAAAAGCACTCATTACTAGAATGAAAACCAAGGTTCGAGTGTCAGAGTGCAATAATGAATAATTTAATTTAATTTTCGGTGTAGTAGCTTGTTTTGCTTGCTTGCTATTTCTATAAAATCTTAATCTTTGTACACACTATGATTATTTAGGTTTAGTAGCGGTAGAGGAAACAAATACACAAGTCACCTCCGAAATTTTCCGATCTCCCACGCACTCACATCATCATTACGGTAAATCAAAAACCACGCGACAATCATCACCATGTTATGATTGATTGACTGCATCACGTGTAATGAATAATCTCATGTTATTTGCCATTCGTTCTTTTGTAACCAGTAATGTTAGTAAAAATAGAAAAATGTTATCATATATCATGCAATTCAATCTTGTTCTGTTAACATATGATTTTTTTTGTAAAATATAAATACAAATTTGGTTAGAGATGATGGTTATTGGATCGCTATGGTGAATGATTTGATAGACATGCATTCATACATGTGCACTCGAATACGTAAAATAAAGTGTGGCTTCTTTTTGAATGCGCTAATAATAAACAGAGAGGGATTAAAATGATGGTTGTTTCCTGTTCGATGTTTTACAAATACAAATATAAAAGTGATTGGTTCTTTTCGCATTTTTACAAGAGGTTGTTTTTTGTACATCAGAAACTAACATCATAACGATAATATCATTCGGAGGAATTGGCAAACTTTTGAGGTGAGGATGAAAAGTGTTTCGTATTACACATACGAAACAATCCTTTTTGATTTGACCACGGTCTGGTGTAAGTCGGGTACGTACTACTGCATACACACGTAATTATTTTTCCATGTAATGACTCTGAGTCATTCAAGTAAATTAAAAATTTTATGGTGCACAACATTCATAATCGACTCACAAAATTTTATCTGTAAATATTGATTGACAACAGGTTATTTTTCTACAATGTTCTACTCTACGAAATCCAAATTATTTTTAAAAATATTAGAGGTTGAAAAATGAATGCTCGTTTGTTTATGTTGACTGTACTAATTGGAAATTTTGATTTAAATCATTCAATTTCACAAAATTGGCTAAAATAACCTGTTGTCAAACTATTTTTAAAAAAATTTGAAATCAATATTCATAAAGTTTTAATCATATATATATATTGTTGTTATTGAATATAAGTGGAATTATAGAATAAATGATCAAATATCAAATAATATATTAATTTTCATTAATATTGTACTAATCAATGTTTTCTTTATAAATACATTCAAAATAAAACTAACAGCTTTTATAAGTTCTTTAATAAAGCTTTTAAAGCAAATCATTTATTAAAAATAATAATAAATGATTTTAATTATAAAAATGATTTATACTAATTGGTTTTAGCGCAATAACTTTACCTAAATCAGCAAAAAAAATGCATTGGTAAATACCATTGAATTTAATAAAGCTGTTCTTACCACTGTACAATGTCTAAATAAAGAAAATCAAGAAAATAGCATTTATGCCATAGCTAGAAAAATCTACGTTGTACAAACGGATCAATTTTTAGAAATCGTAGCTGGACAAAGCCAATATAGATAGCTTCGATTTCTGGGTAAGTAAAAGGTTCATGCTAACCTAATTAGCTTTGTCTCGGTATGGTTTTTCTAACCTCTTCTGATGAGTGGCTGCGATGTTCAACACAATTATTAGACGATCAATCAAAAATTATCAACTTTATATAATTCCTTGGGAAATATGACATCAGACGTGAGAATAGGAATTATTGGCGGTACAGGTCTTTATGAGCTACGAGGGTTGACAGTTGTTGAAGAGTCATACCCGGAAACGGTAAGTTTGTGTCGTGGAATGGTGAGCTTTTACTTGCCTGACATGCGTATAAAGACGCTATACTATTCTCATATGTAAATTCTTTTATCACGTATAATTAAAATCGATATAGCCATGGGGATATCCAAGTAGCAAAATTAAAATAATGAAACATGGTGAAAATGGAACAAAAATCGCGTTTCTTCCACGTCACGGAATCGGACACGCACTTAACCCATCCGAAGTTCCATCACGTGCAAACATTGCCGCCTTGAAGCACCTAGGTGTAAAAGTGATAGTTGCCTACTCGGCAGTTGGATCCCTCCAACAAGAAATAAAACCGTGCGACTTCGTAATTCCCTCCCAGATAATCGACCGCACAAAAGGGATTCGACCTTCGACATTTTTTGAAAATGGCATAGCGGCACATGTAATGTTTGGCGACCCCTTCAATGCAGATCTAACAAATATTATATGTTCTGCATGTGAATCGATCTTTAGCAACAACAAAATCGACGCCGATGGTATTAATGTAGAACTGCACATGGATAAAACTTTGGTTTGTATGGAGGGACCACAGTTTTCGACGCGTGCAGAGTCGAGGTTGTATCGTAGCTGGGGATGTGATATTATTAATATGACCGTGTTACCAGAAGCAAAGTTGGCACGTGAGGCTGAAATTGCGTACCAGATGATTTGTATGGCAACTGATTATGATTCCTGGAAACAGAATGCTGAGGTGGTGACTGTTGATTTGGTAATTAGTAATTCACGAAAGAATATTGAGAATGCGAAAAAATTGTTGTCAGCTATTTTACCAGAAATTGAGAGTGCATTGGATAAAGGGAAATTTGATGACATTTTCGGAACTATGAAATCTTCAGATATGACTTCTCAATCCGCGAAGAATCCAGAAACTGTAAAAAAATTGGAGTATATTTTACCGGGGTATTTTTAGTGTACTGTTAGTAATCATAAAGATTATTTATTTATTTTAAACTTTTGTAAATTTATTCATGTAACTATAATTTTTATTTATAATAAAAATTTGATTTACTGAGGATAAATACTTTCATTTAATCATCTAAAATTCTCTCGATGATTGATTATCTCAGTCTCAAGATCGATACTAAAAAGAAAGGTATTTATCATTTCTCTTAAACATAATCTGTAAATAGGTGCTTTGTAATAACGAAATAAATAACGGTTAACTGGAATCACTCATTTCAGATTTTCTGATAACTCTTAATGGACACTATCAATAATTTACTACTATCACTACAACCACCAGATAAGTTCTTATCATCGAAGAAAACAGAAGAGTCAAAGATCGAGGTGCAAAAGAGTTCCTGTTCAAGTCTCCTGAAGTTATTTCTCTAGTAGACAATAAGGTGCGCAGTAAATGGTTTAATGCTAAAAAAGTTACTTTACTATTGTCTAACAACAAAAGGCGACAATGAATATGTTCCCAGTGAAAAAGATAACGAGGGTGACGAGGATAAAGATGATGAAGACGACGAGCTACACCCAAATACTATTAATCTGAAAAAGGTCGAATTAAAATGTACGGAAATCCGGTGAATACATAATAATAAAAATATCAGTTTCTGGAATGCATAAAAATAGATGAAGTGATTGAAAAACATGGAGTTCGGCGTGCCAAATCGCCGAATTTGATGATGCTCGTGTTATGCTCATTAAAAAAAAAGAAGTGAAACGTTATTTGTACATTGGTGGTAAATACGAACATTGGTAATACTTCAAGTTAAAGAACATTTCTCAAAGACAATAAATACAGTAATAATAATATTCAATTTTTTATTAAGACGTCGAAGGAGGGTCGAATATTTCTTTAATAAATGCTATAAGTTTCTTTTCCACAAATACAATCAACGCTTGATCGGTTGTTGGTGAGAGGTTCAGACTCACAAAGAACTGTTTATTGAATTTTCGCGCTTGATTTAAATAAAGAAAATTAAAAGATTTTACATAAACAAATTGATCATCTTCGAGTCTCGAGAAATTTTATAATTAAAAATCTAAAATACCTAATTTTTGTCCTAACTGTCTTGAAAACTCGTCTATGTCTCTTGTTAGCAAAGTCGTAGCTGCTGGTGGCAACGAACTATCTTTACCTCCATAAGAAACTGGCGGCATGGCAACAGCCAAATTCTGTAATACTTCGTTGCCGTGACTTGCCACCCAAGCAAACGCCGAATCCGTTAACACTATTAATTGAAAGTGTATGGGTGTTGTCAGATATGAATGACTTTGATTGTATACTTTTATCTGAGGAGTTGCAGGAATTGAGGAAGACATTTCGAGTTCTTTTGTGTAATGGAATCTAATGGAATGTTCTCTTTAATTGAAATCTGAGTCATAAAAATAATTTTAAAAACTTGTAAAATCAGAATATTTTTCCATATCGATATAGTTTTAATTTAGGCAAAAAAATGGCACAACAAGTTGCAACCCACGGGCCAAGGTCGGCAAAATGGCCTTTTGCACATATGGCACGAGAAACATGGTCAAAGTTTCAGAAAGTTCGAGTTTCGCGTGTAGATGAAAAGAAACATTGGGTTCATCCAAAAGATAGAATACAGTTTTGGAAGATATTGGAAGGTGATACGGTACTAATATATATAATGTTGTTATTGTCAATAAGAAAATAGCCGCGCGACATTTATAATGAATTAAATTATTAATTTGAAGGTTATTTTATATTTATATATTGTGACGTAAAATAAAATACGTAAAAAAATGCGTAAAGGTAAAAATTATATCCGGAAAAGCAAAAGGACAAGTAGGAAAAGTGCTGGAGATTGATAAATGGACAAATAAAGTAATAGTGGAGAAATGTAATATCGTAAGTATCATACAACGAAATGATTTTAATTATATCACCAACAACATTCAATATTGGGAATATTCGACAATTAGGGACTAAAAACACCCAAAGACTTTAATCCTAGTCCTAAACCTCCACCACCGCCAGATCGACGCGTCGGTCCTTGGTGGATGGTGGAATTCGAACGACCAATTCATGTGTCTAATGTTCAACTTGTGCATCCAAATGATCTCAATTTGTAATTATTATTATTATTATTATTATTATTATTTGGGTTTATTAAAGAATTTCTTAATTTTTATATTAAATTTTAATTTTTAGACCCAATCCTAAGCAGATGTAAATGCGAAAAACACGCTCTATATATTTGGATTGTTATTTGTTTCGTATATTCTTAATGGATAATTATTTCTTTACTGGCTGCAGGCGAGTTGTTAAATGTAGATGGAAACGCATAGAAATTACCAATGATCCTAAAAAGAAAGATAGATTTCGATGGCGTCGATTTGTGTCCGGGATACCTGGTGACAAGCACATCCAAATAGAGCTTCCTAAGCGCGAGAAAAAAGATCCGGAGGCTGACCAAGAAGGTAAGTATTCCCGTAATATCATGCAAGAATTCTTTATATATTTCTAATTATTTGTATTTATTTAGATACGCGATGGGACACCCCTGTAAAAGTTGTACGTGAATTCACATTCGCACCCACTTATCTTCATCCACTACCAAGAGGAGTTATCGATGAACTTCGAAATAAAAGAAAATGGTGGAGATATTTACATAGGCCGTTTGTATAGCAGTATTTATTGTTGCGCGGAATAAGTAGTATTATTATATTATTATTATACTGTTGTTATTTGTACATTTTACTACTACATCTCTATAAATGCTATTAATTAATTATTCAAGGAAAAGCAGGAAAACGGGGTTTTTATGGTAACTAGAGTCCAGACAAGTTTTGTTAACCACCAAAATTCTACGATAAAAATACATTAGTAAATAAGATTCACTTTACTCGAATAAAATTCTGATAAAACCACAAACCTATGACAACTGGTTCTTTTGCTCCTCCAACCTTTTCACAATGAAAATACTTGTATCAAGAAACCGCTCAACACAATTTGTTAGACAAGTCTCTTCTGACCGATCAAGTTTATTCCCGATTTTTCCGATACACTTGTCCCAGCAAAGGTCGGTAAACATGTGTACAGACTGTTGTAGCCGCGCTTTTGCATTTTCCCCTTCGAGAAATTTTGTGAGTTCACGTTGAGAAGTTTCGTCGAATTCCAAATTTTCTTTAGACAAAGACATTACTTAATTTTTACGTCGAGTCGCTAGATTTTTATGATTGGACAGAAAACATCAAACATTCTATGACACTTGAACTAAAACATTTTGGCGTCATCATCGTTATGCTTTTTAAAAACGTGAGGACTTTATTGAACAGAACTAACTCTCTAGCATTAAACAGACAAACTAAATGTATCGCTAATCTTGACAGACGCCAAACTTTGCTTCCAAAGCAACGAGCTCATTTTTCATTATTTGCTGATCCTTCAAAATTAGCCCTTTTCAGACTTTCTCACGCGACTATAAAACCTTCTATCGCTATCGCTTCTTTCGCGAGTATGGCAAACGTTGGATTCGATAATTCACCGTTTTGGATTGCGAAAACGCCAAAAGAACGCGATAACCCTGTACTGAACTGGGACAGGTTTCCCAACTTTGCGGCGATAACTCCAGAAAATATACTTTCTGCCATGGAAATACTCTTGCCACGAGTAGAAAAAGAGTTTTTGGAACGAGAAGCGAGTTTCACGCCGAGTTGGGAAGGAACTATTGGGTTAGGTGAGAAGCGCAACCTTTGTGACTGGAATAATATGGAGTAAATTTTAAGGATTTGCTAATGTAAGCCCATTGAAATAAAGTGCAAGAGATTGAGGATGATTTTGAACGCGCAGTAAATATTCCTATGCATTTGAAAAATGTTAAAGAATCTAAGGAACTTCGGGAAGTTATTGAAAAAATACAGGTAGAAACAATGATGACCTTTTGATTAACATAAAAACATTAATATTAGGCATTTTTTGTTTTTTTAGCCCAAAATCACGAAGCTTACTCTTCGAATGAACCAATCTTATAAATTATACAAAGCTTTGACAGAACTCGCGAATAATCCAGAAAGTTTTGCCGCCCTGTTGCCAGCGCAACAAAGGATTGTGCAGCTAAATATTCAACAAATGCAACTTGCTGGTGTAGGACTTGTCGATGGCTCACCAGAGAAAATTCGGTTTAACGAAATTAGTAATAGACTATCAGTACTTGGATTAAAGTTCTCGGATAATGTTTTGGATGCGACTAAAGCTTTCGCAGAAATTGTGAAAGATCGAGAGACACTTCGTGGATGTCCTGATCAATTGTTGAAACTTATGGCTAATTCTGCTAAAGATAAAGGGTTTGGTGACGGAGATCCAGGTAAATTTTTTACTTTTATCTGAAATAATTATATTTCATATTATTAGATAATACATATGCCACTTTTCTCATTTTTTTTTTAATTAGAACAGGGCCCTTGGGCCATAACATTCGATGAACCTTGTATTTATCCATTCTTGAAGTTTTGCGCGAATCGTTCACTGCGTGAAAAAGTAACCAAAATTCTTTATTCGAATACTATAAATATAAATATAAATTTGATAAATTTTATTTTATTCCTCCGGTGAAAATACTAGATATTTCGTGCTTTCAATACCCGTGCTTCTAACAATGAACCCATAATTAACGAGATATTAAAGCTTCGAAATGGTAACAACACCTTCTATTTAATTGTTAAGAAAGATTGATCAAAGCCTAATTCTTTAATTTGAAAAGAGGAGGCGTCGCTTCTAGACTTTCCACATTTCGCAGCTTTATCGCTTTCGCACAAGATGGCCGGTACACTAGAATCTGCTAATAAGCTTATCCAGGATATCTTTGAAGCTGCGATACCTGCCGCCAAGCGCGACTTCGAGAACCTTACGCTCTTTGCCAAAAATCAACTTGAGCTAAACTTGCCAATTCAACCATGGGACACGCACTATCTGGCCGAGGAATATCGAAAACACCTGTTCAAGTATTCTGATGCCGAAATATCCAAATATTTTACATTTCAAAAAGTGATCAATGGATTGTTTGAATTGACGGAAGAACTTCTGGGTGTTCGTGTACAGGAAGTTGATCAGGAAAAAGAGGGATTCACGACTTGGCACAAAGATGTTAAGGTGTACAAGATGTTAGATAAGTCTACTGAGGCACCATTGGCTTACTTTTATGGAGATTTCTATAGGTATGAAAGATTAATTTGTACTACTAAGATTAGACAAATAGTATTGTCGAAATTTCATAGTAATATTTTTGAAATGTTATGTTATAGTCGTCCGGGAGAAAAAAAAGGAGGTGCGTGGGTGGCTATTTGTGCTACCCGAAGCAAGGATTTCAAAACAGGCCAAGTACGATTCCCAGTTGGTAATTGTAAATATATTTTTTGCTGTATATTATGTATATTATGAAATCGATCTAATACTCTAATATTTAGGATATATGAATTGCAATGCCCCACCACCTTCAGTAAATTCCACTAATCCATCTACAATGACTTTTCGGGATGTACAAACGATATTCCACGAGTTTGGGCATGGTTTACAACATGTACGTTTGTAGTATATGTTTCAATTTGAAATATTTTAGCTTTATAAAAAATTTCTTTTTAGTCTCTGACCACAGTGGACTTTCCGCAAGTATCTGGGATTCATGGTATTGAATGGTAGATAAACTTTAAAGTATCGTTATTCTAAAATAAAATAAATTTTACTGATTTCGGATTACTCGATGGTACAGGGATTTCGTAGAGGTAGGTATATCAAAAGGAATAAATTCAAAGTTGATTTCTCAATATTTAAATGTATACTTGCTCGATTTGCAAAATCACCGATTATTAGGTCGCTTCACAATTCATGGAAAACTTTGTTTACGAGCCTGAGATAATTTCGCGATTATCGGCGCATGTCGAGACTGGAAAACCAATGCCCGAAGATATGATCAATTCACTAGTGAAGGATCGTCAATACCTCGCGGGATTGACGACGACACGACAAGTAATTTTTAATCTAAATATCAATATTTTAATACTTTATTACAATTAGATCTAAAAATCTACTTTTTTCAGCTTCATTTCGCCCAAGTGGATTTAACCCTCCACTCAAATTTCACACCGCCTGAACCTACTGCAGTGAATGCAAATCAGAAAACTGTTTTTGATCTCTATAAAGAATTGGCGCAACGAATGCTGGTTATTCCCGTGTTGCCAGAAGACCGATTCTTGTGTAGTTTCCTACATATTTTTAGCGGAATGTATTCTGATGGCTATAGTGCAGGATATTACAGGTAAATAACCAATCAATTGATGATATATTAATTTATATTCAATGAAAATTTTGGATTGAAACTTACGTATTTATCTTAATAGTTATAAATGGTCAGAAGTTTATTCGGCGGACGCATACGCTGCTTTTGAGGAAGCGGTTGAGAATCTGCCGCCTGAAGAAAAGAAGGCCAAATTGGCGGAAGTTGGTCGTCATTATCGTGAAACTTTATTATCTTTGGGAGGAGCCATTAATCCACGACAAGTATGGAAATTATTCCGTGGTCGGGAAGAAGTGGATATTAAACCATTGTTAAGACATGCTGGTTTTTTATCGACTTAGTATAGTTACAAATACAGTCAACTCTCTCTAAATGCAACCTTCATAAATGCAATCTCTCTCTAAGTGCACATTGCGTTTCAAGTCCCAT